GATTTCAGTGATCTTAGACGAATCTCGAGTGGAATCCAACATATCAGAAATAGTTTTTAAAAATTTGCTGGAATTTTTCAAAGGATCCATCGTCCTTAGCGTGGAATTCACGGAAATTCTTCGGAAAATTTGGTGATATCTCCGGTAATCTCCGTAAATTCACTTACAGATATGGAACCCTATCAGAGGGTTTTGCTCTCGATCGGTGGCGCCTTCAGTGCGTTGGTCATGATTTTGGCTGTTCTACAGTGGTTCCACATCTGGACGTACGTTTCAGAGGAGAAACGTCAAAACAAGCTCTACTTCTTGATCTCGTTATTTCCGGTTAGCTCTACCCTAATGATGGATGGCTTTTGAAACCGGTCGTAAGCCTTACGAATGACCAAAATAATTTCATCTATGATAACTAAAATTTTCTTGAGACTGATAAGAGTCAGTCCAAATCTAAAACTACGAATCTAAACCGGATTCAAGCGGATTAAGCTAAACACTTTAGTGGTTAGCAGATTCAAGCCTACCGTACCCTCAGCTTTGACCACTAACATATCAATTTCTTCACACCAATCGATCGAGCAGAATCTCTGCATTCAGAAAAATATATGTTTTGTCGGGTGATTTCGCTTAGTTGAGGAGATATAGCTATTTTATTAAAGCTATCTGAACTGGCGCTGAGGTGTGTGCTCATTGATATGCATTTGATCACTATAGATCAATGAATATTACACATTACTATAGAAATATGGGTACATTCAAGCCTAGCGTCTTCTCAAGTTTGCCCTGACACAATTTGATGTGTTCAGGTGAGTACCGTATGTTGCTTGATTGGTATGTGCGTGCCACGCACCTCGTTGGTTCTATCGTCAGCCGGCCTACTCTACTTCCTGACCTGTATGTTTGTGCTGATCTCGTTGCTGAGAAATTTATTTGGCAGTCGTGAATCACTGTCTAACTCGCTGAAATTCGATCGCAAACAAATCAACTTTCAAAGTCCACCGTTCTGTTGTTTCTGCTTCTGTCTACCAAAAATTTCCAGCAATACGTACGTTTCTTTCACGTTTACCAACGCATTCAACTTATTCCTTGACTTTCTCAGCATCTAATAGAGATTGTATAGAGCTAAAGATATCCTCAGTGAATGGCCAAATATTAGGGATGGCATCCGAGCCAGGTTCGGTCGGAAAAATCCGAAAAATTTCCGTCGAAATCCCAAAATTCGGATTCCAACCGACAATTTGGAAGTTTTTGCGCAAATCCGAATGTCAAAATCGCAAAATGTGGATTTGATCGAATTCAGATCAACACAAGCATCGTTCAAATGCCATCACTAGTATATATATGAGTGCAACGATCAATTTTCAAAGGATTTAGTTATCTGTTGATCATTATCAAAATACATCAGTACGGATAGTTCTCCAGATAAAGTTAAAGCATAAAATCCCTGAATACCAGTTTTTACAAATCCAGGAAGGTGGTCTTGAAGCTCACTGATAAGTGGCTAGTTCAATCGAGCGCTTCAGCTGTTACTCATTACTCTGTAGATCTTGAAAGGATTCATTAAAGATGTTGAGATTTCAGGCGTAATCTACGTCGTATCGAATGGCTGATATTGCAAGCACCTATAGTGCGGGCGCTCATCGTACTATTCAACCTGATCGCTGTAGCGGAATTCCGTGAGGAGTCTCTAAAGTAAGTGGGATATCGGCAGAAATCCCAACGCCTGTAGCGATTCATCGGACCATTTCACTTAGCTTTCAAACCGTGGCCGGTCAATCTGTCTAAAGACTTTTAGCCTAACGACAGGTTCAGGTGAAGAACATAGCCAGCTTGAGCCGGCCAGCTCTGTACTGATTAAAGAGCGAGAACTTGAGCCAGATTCGCTGCAAATCCTAGTCGGCCAGGTTCAATTTATCAAAACAACCGAAAAAAAGTCTGAATTTTTTGGTTTTTGAAAATTTTCAAATTCAGATATGTTCATTGGGCTGAAATGATCGGAGTGGGCTCGCTGTTGATGGCCATATTCGGTACACATACACTGGCACGACTGACATCAGTAAGGTGTTCTTGAATTAGAGGAAAAGATTCTTCGAAAAAACTTTTATGCAACGATAATTTTTCCATCGGAATGCTCGAATTTCAATCGTTTGAGCCGAATTTCAACCGAAATTTCAAATTTCCTTTCATTTTAGAGCGTTTGTGTTTTCGTTTGAGTTTTATTTTTATGCTGTTTTGTGAAAATGATCAAATTCCTGGCGATCAAATAAGATAGTGATCATTTGAGGGCAAGTTAAGCCACTACGGGTTCATGACAATTTTCCGCCTGATCGATGTGGCTCTCCTGTTCTATACGGCTCAGCAGCCGATGATCTTCGAGAATATTTTGGTTCGTTTCGGTGTCGTACAGTGTGGACCAGCACTGTCGGCTCAAGACAACGCCAGATGTGAGTGGAGCCTTTTGTTTTTATAATATCCTGGATCTGAATCAGGCTTCTTAAATTTCTTCTCGCGATTTGCTGATTAAACAATTGAGTAAATGAATAAATAAGCAAATAAATAAGCAAATAAATAAATAAATAAGTCAATAAATAAATAAACAATCAAATAAATAAGTTGAATGTCAAAATTTCAGTTATTTGCAATTTCGTTATAATCACCGAGATGCTGCTGCTGTCGTTATGTGCCAGCATATTACTAGCACCATCACGGAGCGCGCTCTTCGATCGTTATCCACACGGCTGCGGATCACCAATTTCGACGAGTTTCACCGACGAGTCAATGTTGACTCATAATGAGCTATCCGAAGACTAGAAATTCCATCGGAGATTTCATTTATCCATTTGAATATCAATAACTAGTCAAATGATGGGCGAACGGACGTTATGATGTGTATATGATGTTTTTTATGAGACAATAATTTATTTAATTGTAAAGCTTAAAAAATAAAATTTTTCCTGAAACCCGTTTCGCTGAAACCCTCACACTTACCATTAACTATACAATATCACTAGCGATAAGGTGCCTGTATCATCGTGAAGCTTTCAAATCCAGCAATCTTATAAGTGATCCATTAATTATTATTCCTTATGTTATCGTGATCGCCGACAGATCAGTTCGCTCTGATTGTAGCGTTTGATCAGCTGATCAGATCAGTTGCTCGCATTATGTGCACTGAGAACTGATTGCGATCTTAACAGCACAACCACTCGGCAGAGACTGAACGGTAGGTCTCCGCTGCAGCTCAGAGCTAGAGCCCCAACTGGTAATTGGTACATGGTTTCGGGTTCGATTCCAGTTCGATTCAGAGGAGGAAAGTTTTGCTTGAGACCGAATGGTGTACCAATATCATTAATACCAACATCAGAATGACTACGTTTTATAAGCAGGGCAGGATCAACTCAATCAACTCAATAGTTTCCCATATCAAATCTGAAGCGATACGGCTGACGATGCGAGTCGAATAGCTACTAAGATAGGGAGCTAATCCGCTGGATTTGATTAGCAAAGTAACGCGAAGACGGCTTTTAGCCGGCTAGATTAAAGAAAATTAGATTGAAATGTATCCTCGTGAGTTGAGGCATGCAATTCTGCTGATGCTACTGCTACTGCTATAATTTCAGTTGTCATCATCGTAATGTATCTTACTCGAGAGCTTATACAGCTACATAGCAAAATTCTAAGACGCCTCTAAGAAGGCGGCTGATTTTGCAATCTACCACTCACATTTCAATTAGGAGCGCTGCAATCGCCTTAAGAAGTTCAGTGGTTTTGAGGAGATCATACGATCTCAGAGAGCTAGAGATCCAATCGAGGACTGAGTGATCAATGCAATCGAGTTGGTGATCATGGATTAAGGCTTAGCCCTAGTATTGTTAGAAATTGATTGGGTGAGTGGAAAATCTGATTAATCCGTTTATATCATTGATAGATATCGTGATTTTCATCATGTTCTATTCTTCAAATTTGCCGATTCGAAATATTCCTCAAAGTTGATGTCTTCAAAAGGTCCCAACTTCCTACTGCATTCATTTCTAAAGCTTCCATGATCATCATGATCACTTCTATCAAGCTATCATGATCAAATTTGCTCTGACGTTTGAACATCTCACCAAAACTATCGTTAGAAGTCGTCATATAGATCAAAACCTAACACTTTAACTAGTTGATCTTATCATCAACAGGTAATATGATCTAATTATCTAATTTTCACTTGAATGATTTGATTATATCCACCAAAAATATAGCATTTACCTAGAAATCTAACCAGTAAAATGATCAATCTTATCATCAATAGTCTATTGATAGATAAAATCGATCAAACTCTTTAAAATCAGCAAGTAATTTTGATCGACCGCCACTTTTTTCGATCACCATTCCATTCTAGAGTCTTTCACATCGCACAAATCAGTTTATTGTTTCGAATGTTTAAGTGTTTGGTTGGTTTGTGCGTGTGTCTCGTGGTTAGTCTTATATCTGCATTCTCGACTACTTGCTCGAGATTTGTTATTTGCGTACGTCTTTCGAATTATTATTCTTGTCAT